TTTGCCAATGCAGCATTTCTCAAATGAACAAAACCTTTCCTCTCCCCATAGATCCCTCAGGATGTATTTTACTTCCCATTTTCATTGCTGTATGTGGTGAATGTGGCATCATTAATAGATAAATATCAATATATAGACCTGGATGGCTCAGATCTATCAGGACATTGCAAGGAAAGGCAGGATACTTTCCTACCTGTTACAAAGTTCAAAGAAATATTTTGGTTAATGCCAGAGACTTTGGGATAAGGATAGAAGATGACTGTGGCCATGAGAAAACTGCAATAAATATGGGGTAGAGAACACTGCTGAGGCTGAGAAAGCATTATACATTTTAATAGAGCATTTCAGGGCAGATTACTAATTGCAATGAGACAGACCAAAATCTAAAAATGTCTAAATTTTTCATCCACCCTGTCTGAGGGTGTCCAATTTTCTCATAAACTCAGAGTAATCATGGACTTAAGCATCATTTTGAAGAAGTATGTGTTCTGGTTAATTATTTAAATATACATAAAGGTAGTAATCATTCACACATTAAAATTCTGGTCTTATTTAATTTTAACTCAGAAATGTACTCTGCCAGTTAAATGCTGCTGTGTCACTAACAAAAGGAGATTATCATGAGGAGGGTTTGGCTGAGGTCCTTTTGCTCATGCCTTCTCTTTCCCTATTATACAATTGCTGCATCTCCAGCAGACCATGTAACTCCTGGTGCTAGACTGGTACCTACACTGCCTTTGAGTAACTCTCCTGCCACAACACTCCAGTGAAGCTTGAACATAGCACAGGCCTAGCCTTCTGTGGTTTTAAAATCTAAAAAATACAAAAAGTAAAGACATTACGGCGAGTTTTTGTTCCAGTGGAACAGTCAAGTTTCCTCTCCAGCTTCATTAAGAGTAGCAGGGTCTTCTGCCCAATAAATCTGTGTTGTCAGCAGAGGACTTCATTCAAAACACAGATATGGAGCACAGCAGCTACTCAAATCATATGACTTGCAAATTGTCTAGAAGAGCTGATCGATTAAGTCTGGCAAATATCAGATAGACAATAAGCAGTGGCAAAAATGCAGTTACATTAAGACAAAGTACAACATAAAGAGAGTGAACAGAATGTATGAGGTGGTCTAATTGAGTAGCACGAATAAAGGTGATAGAAATGGAATTTAATAAGTTAAAAAGGCATGAGCTAGCATGCGTAGGAGTAATTCATTGCCCTTTCCAATAGTCAGGAGTGATTTTCTTTTTTAATTGGATCATGTTTCATCATTGCCCAATTGGATGCTTCTTTTTGCCCTCCTGAAGCACAAAATGTTTCAAACAAGTTTTAAAATATGTAATAACATAAAACCAAGAGAGAAGAGTAATCAACAGAAAACCCTCAGCACAAGAGGGCTGACTTGATTCTGTCCCTAGAAAGCTTTACAATGCTCTATGCTCCTGCCAAAGGAGATACTGGGTAAGGTTCCAAGACACTAAAGTGATTAAGTTTTGGTAGACATGCTGATTTTGCACTTGTCTACTTATGTCCATCAAGGGAATTGTTTTCCTTCTCTCTCCTTTCTCAAACCATTATATTGATCTTAATGCCACACATTCAGACAGGTGCTCTAAAACGTGTGTGAAGTTTTCCTTACAAGAAGACTGCTTTGGTACTCCAGCAGTAAAGTTCTTTCAGAAACTGAAATAAAGTGTGCACTGCAAGAACTGTGTTAATATGACAGTGACAGAATAGTGGAACAGTGAAATCTGGCCCGTGTATCAATGGTATCAAGTGCTTAGATCACATTTTCAAAAGTGACTTTACTACGATGAAACCAAAATCATCCACATACTTGGCAAAATAATCACCATTTATCTACACATGAATGCCAGGCTAGAAGGACTGAGTGTGGGTCATTTCTCCAGAAGAAGTAAGACTTCAAAAAAAGTGGTGGGGAAAAAAAAAAGAGTTTGCTTAATTAGCTCAGAAACTCTATTTTGTACACAAAGCAACTGCCAGCACTGGCATGACAGCTGTGGGAAGTATCTACTCTACTGGTCTGCCATATACCTCACACAGTCACCAAAAGAAATGTACCTCTCACTCAAAAAAACCAGTTTTCTGGAAAAGAACTCAAACTTAAAAAAAAAAATCTAATGCACAAAAACCCCTCAAACCAAACCCAATTGATCCCAATGGAATTTCTTGGAAATGTGTAAATACTTAACACTATTTTTTATACTGGGAACCCAAAGACTTTGAATTCAGTGCCTTTGAAAGCTTCTCCCATGATGGCACAGTTGCTTTTTGTGACATGGATAAAAAAATGTCTGCCTTATCTTTTGAACAAAATGTCTATTTTCTTCCTTATGCAAAGTGGCCTTGTGAACGTCCATATAACCACAGAGCATAAAAGTGTCATCTGTTCTCTTAAAGATTATGAAATATTGATGTTCCTACAACTGTCATCCAGATGTAGTCTTCAGGCTTTGTTGAATTCATGATCTCAAACTCTTTTGATTTTAGGAGGCACTAGTGTAATTTGGGGCCTTGGACAATTTGATTCTAACAGAGATTGTCAAAGGCTCCTTTCTGCTTCTCTGCCCATGGGTGAACCAGCTTTGCTTGCACATGAACCACTTATTGCACTGCACAGTCCCCCATTTCTTGGTTGAGACATTTACTGGCAAGAAACAGCCAAGTCCCAGGAATTAAGCATGCATGGGACTTGGAAAAAAGGGATTGTGAGCTCTAAACATCCCCTATCCATCTATCTGAAGCTGTTGGATTGTTGATCTAAATGTCTAGCCAAAAGGACACAAAAATAATTAGGGCAATAGATATGTCTTTCCCCCACCTCAAATCAAACTTATGTAGAAATTCTCTATATGCTGAGACAGGTCTTTAAATGCATGAACCTGAATACAAAACATGTCCCTCTTAAATTGGATTATTTCCTACGGATTGAGCCAGAGAGAAAAAAATCCATGTAAACTCCTTGTGACTCAGAAAAAATTATTCCATGCTGCAAGCCAATCTCTCCACCTCAGACAAACTATTGCCCAAGACCAATCCTAATAAGTTTAAGATTTGCATGCAAAAATTCACCATATGTTTCCCAAATTGGTTTTATAGGAATCATTGTGCTTTACACACTTTTTTCCAAATAGTGGTAGTTAGATCTGGACCTCAAGCCAAGCAGCAGATGTTGGAATTTCCATGCAGAAGGTGGCTTCCAGTGACCCAGAGGATCCCCTCTTAATAAAGAGATCCATACAGAGTCTCTTAAGTGAGAAGGAATTGCAGTGTATGTTACATTCATGGAATTTTAGGACAAACCTGTGTGGGTTTTTTCCTTACGGGGAAAAGCTTTTTGCATTTTGGAAGGGCAAGGAAGCAAAAAGCATTTCTTTATAGATGGCAAAACACTGCAAGTGCAATGTTGGTAACTCACCCACTGGTGTTTATGATGCCTCAGAGGCAAAAATTGAATGGGACCTGAGACTTGACTCCAAAAGCTCTGCACTAAACTTAAGAATGTAATCCTGTAATGTGCTATTTATGGTTATCTTAGGCAATCTTTTCTAAAAGGCCTCATGAGAAAAGTCATGCTCTAATACATATGGATGTGATGATATCTATTCTAGGCTAATCAACAGGCATTTGTACAATTAAAAAATGCCCAGTCAAGATTGAGGCTGCATCAGCTACAGATCTCAGTAGGCTTTTTAAAGCCACACTGGCCCCCAAGAAGCCTGGTTTAACAAATATGTCCCTAGTCAGAACAGAAAGATTAATAGGGGGTATCTGTCAGGTGAACTTGATGGTTTGCTTGCTCCACACTGCACTAGCATTTTGTTGTGTGGCCCAGGCTCCCTGGCTCTGTTCTGGTACAAATTAAATACTCCTTGATGAGAAACTCTGAAATGGATTGTTAGTCCATGCTGGGATTGAGATCACATATGCACAGGGATATGAACTGTGTCAGGCTTGGGTCCCTCAGCCTCCTCAAGGCCCCCAAGAGCACCAAGCACACAGCTAAGCCCAGCCTGGATCAGAGCAACTGATACCACAGAGTTTGTGGCAACTCAACTCAAAGTTTTTCCATGGCTAAGGTTAGAAGTACTTTAAGATACCAATCCAGAAAGATCCTCAAAAGTAAACAAAATGCTCCCTACAGCTATTCTGAAGAAGAATTAATCTTCTGGACAAGATGAACTCCTTTTCTGCTCACTACATCTCTCTTTGCTATAATCATGGAAACCAAGGACAGTTTTCAATCACCTCTCTCTCCAGAAGGTAAACAGGTCCCATCCATAACAAACCCTCAAGCCAAATGATATAATTTTCCCACACTGTCATGTCCATATTCCACCTCCACAATGGAACTACCAGACTTAGTTACTCATAACTGCATTGTAAACAGGAAGATGAATGAAAGACTATCAAAGGCTGCTTGAGGACTTTCTCAGAGGCATTACAAATAATTTAAGCAAATCAGATTAATAGAGAATGTGAGTGTATGACAGAGAATGTCATTGCCCTGTATTCTGTTGCTTCCAAATTGTTCCTAGTTCTCTTGATCTGAACATCACATGCAAAGAAGAAAATACAATTTTAATGAAAAAGTTCCTCTCCCTCCAAAATCAACATGCATGACCACACAGAATTTCCATCAAAGTCAAGAATTTATAATACCGAAACTTCACTATGATTTCGCATTCATTTAAAGAATTTGATGCTTGAAATCACAAAAATCCCGGATATTCCCCTCTCATTATCTAAAAAGATTGCACAATCAGACTGACATACCATAAGACTTCCATTCCTTTTCAGCTCTGCTTTGGTCATCCTTTGGTTAATATCACGTTTATCACGAATACGTACATTTGAAAAAAGTCTTCCCCCACACACCAAAAATAACCCGTGTCATGCTCCAAAAAAAAAATTGTTACAAGAATTGCCCCTGCCCCATGCCCCATCACAGACACAGCTGGAAGGAAAACCATGGCATTACTTACTAGGAACTCCAGACACCAGCCGTAGTGGACGTAAAACTCGGAAAGCCCGCAGAGCTTTAACATCAAATCCGGCACCTTTTCCTCCTATTGAATTCCCCCCATCTGCTTTGGTTGCTTGTTCTAAAATTGCACTAAAAAGCCTGCAAAAAGAAAGAGGAAACAATCTGTAGGCAGACAGCAAGGCTTGGGCTAAACAGGAACAGAGATCATCACCATCATATCACCCAAACTATCTCACAGACCTGTGAAGTGTGTCACACCTCTCTCTCAACAGTCACATATGGTGGAGGAGAGACAGACTCTTCCCATATGCAACAGCCTATTGCTGATGTCTATACCATTTGCAAAACACTTGTTTCTGTTTTTTGACATAAACATGTCAAAAAAGCTCCTCCTCCGTGCTCCTCCGTGGCTCCTTGCAGCCAGCTATGGGCTACCAACACTTTGCTGTCTTTATTAACCAACAGTCCACCTTGGGGGACAAAATCATCCAACAATTAATTATCTGCCACCTGTTTTACAAAGAATTAAGATTCACAATGGTACTGCAGGTAGAACTAGGTGTAAACTCGAGGACCCTTCAAGGGGCAAGTTTTTTAGATGAAGGAGTGTATGCTCACACTGTGTGCTCGTGGATCCATTTGTAAATCCTCTGATGTACTGGCTAAGGAGAGTGCAAAATTATAGGAGCCTTATTATTAGAATGTTTTATCAGACCAGCCTTAATGTTTTATCTTGGCTATTAGGAGTAGATGCCTCACTCAGAATGCATTTTAAAAGGCAGAGCAAGGAAGAAAAGTCAATGTTCTTCTGTAAAAAACCTGAAGGCTCACCCTATCTGTTAATAAGAACTTGATTTAATAAATTAGCTTTCAGGAAGCAGCTTCCATTTTTCTGGTAAAACATGAGTACTTTTGGGGGAGGACAGATTCCTCATGAATTTGCTAATGATATTGCTCTCAGCCTTGAAATCCTCAGCTTGAACCCAGCCAAATTCAGCAGAGGTTAAAAGCTGTTCCAGCCTAAATGGATGTTTGGTGCTCTGTAAACAAAGCTTGCCTGGCAGTGGCAGAGACCCCTTGGCCCATAGGGTGCCATGGAGGGACCACAGACAACTTGGAAGAAACTTTCTGGGATGAACCAGTCCAGACCAAGAGGTACAGCAAAGGTTTGTCTTGCAGACTTGGCAGCCTGTGGTGCCCCTGTCAGGATCTCATCCATATCCCAGCTGGCATTTTCCACACAGAGCCCCCAGACCATGGGTCAAGCAGAGGCTGAGCTGGCTGATGGCTTATCAAGGAGCTCCAATGCCTGTAAATGCAGATAAATCTTACTGATGGGGTCACAAACACAGGGAGCTTGCCCCGGATATTAAAATGAAGATTCATTGACTGAAACATCTATTCCCCCAGCACTAAATCCACACCAAAATGTGGATTAGAGGACCACAAATGCGAAATTCCTTTCTTTAATAGGTTGGTTTTTGGCTTTTTTTTTTTTTTTTTTTAATTCATATTGAGAATCTTATAAAACTTGTCAGCTGTGACTGAGGAGTTCCTAACTGGATCTATTCAAAGCCTGAACTTCAAGCACTGCAGAAAGATTTAACAACTAGGTAACATGGGAAAAACTGTGTGTGAGGAGGTTGGATGCTGAGCTTGTAGGTGTTGCAGAAGCAGGATGCAGAGAAGACAAAAACAGAGCCTATGAGAAATACTGCATTGACTACAGATATCACAGAGAGAGACAAACAAGGGTTGATGCAAAGAAGGTGAATTATTGCAATGTATGTATTTCTTGAGCTGTGTACACAAATTATACAGTTGCAATTATCTGCTGGTCTTCATAATAGAAACACTGTAGGTCAAATTTGGCCTAAAGTATTTTCAGTAAGCAACTGATTAAGCTCTAGCAACGTGCTCTGTTTCACATTCAAAAATTTCTATCTTTCTAGTCCACAGAATTCCCATAATAGGTGATGAGTGATGTACCTGAACAACAGTCCCAATCTCCTGGGATCTTCTAAAGGAAAAAGAATTTACTGCAAAAAGGCTTTTAATACTTTTTTTTCAGCTCCAGGACTAGGAATCTCAAAGAACTCTGGGTCAGCAATTGTGCAGAACTGAGGGTCCATTTTCCTGATCCCCATTTTCCTGATCCCCATTTTCCTGATCCCCATACTTTCCCAAAGAGCAGCTCTTGGCATCGGGCACCGAGGCTGCTTCTGCTGAACAGTGAGCAAAGCAGACTGCTGGAAAATTCTGCTGCCCAAGCAATGTCCTAAATTAGTTCAGGAGGAGCAGAAACACAACCAGTGGGACAGCTCACTCCTCTGGAGATAGAGCCTGCCTGCCCAGACTAGTGCAGCTCCACTGCAGGCCAGTTTTTGTTTATTTTTGTGCTCCAGCACTGGCATGCTAAACGTGCTCTTTTGAGGTACCCACAGTCATCTGCTTCTGCACTTCAGGAATAATTTGCAGTAATTCCTGCTGCTCCTCATTTAAAAACCTACGTTTAAACTTGAATTGCATTACTCCTGCTAATCCTGCTTTAAATATCTTCCCTGTACTAATCCTGCTTTTTACTAATGCATTACAACTTATTTCTCTCATTTATTTCACTCTCTTTGCCTTTTGTATTGGGGTCTAGATTGTGCCCAGTGTGGCCTACTGAATCTCTACTCCACTCCTCAAATTTAAAGTACATCTTGTCAATTCTTCTTTGTCCTCACCACCTCCCTCAATCAGGGCGTGGGCAGACATTCATAAAGCTACATAATTCTCTTAGTTTTTGCAGCTAATTCTTTTCTGAGACTGAAACAGCTGGATGGATGTTAAACTACTGACACAAAAGATGAGGCCAGAGCCCTTCTATTTTATATCTATGTAGGCAATTCTGCTCTTTGATGAAGACCTGTTGGGAAAGTTTTCAGTAGGTATGGTGGAGCAAGGTGCAGTTAGCATGCTCCAAGTGAGAGAACACTCTGCTGACAGAGAAATCAGAGTTTGGATGGTACAAAAAAGGCAAGAGGGCCAATCTCTTTTGGCCACTGAAAATCTCACCATCAAATATCCCCTCCTCCAAAAAGCAGCCATCAGCCTTATTTCCTTCCACTTAACTACTTTCTGCCAGCCTAAACTCATGCCCCATTTTCATTTGGGTATACTTTTCACCGATGAAACACAATTAACATCACCTTGATTTCTGAATTTCTCTTGTAACTAAATTCATCTGGCAGACATGAACTATAAGAGCAGAAAAACGAAATTTTTATCTCATGCATGTACGGACATGCTCCATGCTTTGTTTGGGGTTTGTTACATTTACCTGTGAAGTAAGAAGTTAGCTACATTGGGTTGTTTTTCTTGAAATGTTTCTATTTCCCTTTTGACATTTGAAATATCAAAAGGATTTTCACTTTGCTAATGACCCCAACAGCGGCATGATAAGGTTGTAACCTGCTCTTCATCTCTTCCTCTGTGGAGAGTGCACCGTGATTTTTATAGCATAAAAAAAGAACTTGTCAAGGGCCTCCAAAATATAGAAAGAAAACAGAGGGCTTGGTATTTCTAAGGCAAAAAAATCAGCAATAAAACATAGCTGAAAAAAATCCTCCTAGGTATAAAAAAAAGAGTAAAACACAGAGGTTTTTTTCACAGTGTTTTACAGTTCACCTGTGATTTGTGTGAAAATGTTTAGATCTGCCCTCTCCAAAATCCCCACAGGTCTTCAGAAAGACAAACTGTGACCACATTTTCCAGTCTGCTCTGACTTCAGATCTTGCCCAAATATCTTCACTGCTCACCTTCCCAAGCAAGACTATAATACTCCCTTTCAAATTACAGCACCTTTTTTTTCTGGCAGTAGTTACAGGTCCTTGGAGAATGACTGTGCTTGGCAGACAAACCACAGCACTGCCAGGAAAGACAGATTTTCTTCCTTCACAATATTGTCAAGCTGGTCTTCTCTCAAGAGAAATTTCCTAATATTAAGGCACATCACTGTGATATCTGAAAGTTTTAGTGTTCTCCTAAAGAGGAACAGCAAAAATTGAAGGGAGACAATTTGCCTAACCATTAATGTCTGTGGGTTGTGCCTCATTGAGCAGCCTAGGGGTCTGGTCTCTAGTATTAATTAATAATGTTGGTAGAGCTTCTGATTGATACCCTCACCCAGACATTCTTCAAAGCAGCATTTAAAAGGCTGCTGTGGCAAGGTCACAGGCTATTTAAAGAGAAGCCAGATTCAAGCTCTAAGAGACATAGCTGATGAACAAGCAGGTCTCCCACACTTCAAGAATGATAAGATGCTACAAGCCTACAGTCTAAAATGCATCCTTTCAGCAGAAAACACAGCAGCTGTGTTCAGTGCTTCCCTCTGCTGCTGTTGCATGTTCCTATGGCCTTGTTAGGACCACAGACTCCAAAATCCCTTTGGCTACCAGGGGACCTATCTTCAGAAGGCAGGGGAAAGTGTACAGGCACATTGTTATAGATATTTTTTACAGGAACTGTGACTCCCCTCTAAAATTTATACCTGGTCCTACACATGTCCATTTTCCTCTTACTCTACTGGAAAATGTAGTTCATTTTAAGGCAAAGGAAGCCAGATGTGCTATTATCTATTGAAGATATATGTGGTGAACTGAGTATAGGTGGATTAGAAAGATCTAAACCATACCTTTTTTTTTTTTTATCTTTTAACTTGCAACAATCCTTGAAGAAGGGCTTCCCACCCAACCTATGTTTTGTAGCTAGGGCAGTCATCATTGAAAATGAAGATGATTGGTAAGGCAGAGCAAGCACGAATGGCAATTACCACAGTCACACCATCCTTTGCCCCACACACCAAATAAATCTCTGCCCTCTGTCCCAGCTGTGTTCAAATTACTCAGCTTTCTCCAATAGCTCCATCAATAGGAAGAAAAAGGCACCACAAGGAAATGTTATCATTATCAGCACTTGCTTTCTTCCTCCTTCCTCTCTCTCTCTTCAAAATTTATTTTAAACCTTTTCCATGGGGCTTCCTTCCTGGAAAAATATTCAAATGCACTGAAGTTTAAACATAATGTCACTGGGGGATTTCAGAGAGCCCCTAGGAAGAGAAGACTGGGCAGGAGAGGAACAGATGGTATCACCAAGTAGACTTTGCAGAGGGGCTGTGGAGAGGAAAAGCAGTGCACCAGCCTGGGCTGTGGTGCTGCACCAGTGAGTTTAAACAGATAAACATCAAAGGAACCCATCTGGCCTTGAAGTGGAATCTGTCACTTGAGATTGTTGCTATTTAACAGAGACCTTGGGGTCTTGGCCATGTTTACTATACTCATGTAATCCCTCCCCAGTTGCATTTTTTTGTTCCCCATCTAGTGACTAAGAGCTGCTGGAGGCAAAAGCAGATAGAAGAGCTGAGAGCTGCAGCTTCTGTCATTGGCAAGGGAATTAATTTCAGCCTGAATATCGTCCTGCTGATTAACTGCCCTCGTAGGAAAATTGAAAAGGACTGTACTTAAACTAGATATAATGCTGCTCTGTGATTTCTGGAGTCCTGCTCTCTCACATCCAATGGAAAAAGTGGAGGTAATGTGTCCTCCCTTTAAAATGCCTTTCTCATAAAAATAAAAAGGGAATAATCACATTCACAGGAGTTTTTTCTTCAATCTTTCTTCAACTTAGGCAACATGAGATATCTGAGAGCATTCAAAGGCAGAACCAGTGATGGAATTGGACATCAATACCCGTGAAGGGGGTGGGAATTTTCCAGTTTTCAGGTACTGATATGCTATGGGATCCTCTGTCTGTGGGTATGGAAAAAGGAGAAGCACAATGGGCGTTGCTGTAAGGAGAAGCTTTATGCCCACGTGGAGGCAGAGAGGTCTTGAGACTAAGAATAGGTTTCAGCCTGTTCTCCCTCCCCCTCACTGGGAATTCTCCTTCCACCCACTCTTATCCACGGTGATGGCAAGTGGGAGGTATTGGGAAGCACACAGCAGTTTGCTGATTAAATATTTTGGGGCCACCACAAAAATGGTCAGGAAGGCAGATTGGTCTGGGGCAGAAATTATGAGAGCTTTTGATGACTAGAAGTGTCCCTTTTGACTTTTTCCCTAGGAGCTGATGCAGGGTTTCCTTGGTAAAGAGGTGAAAAGACTACAAGTTTTTGTGGGCGATGAAACTCTCTAACAATGAAGTGGTGGGAGGATGGGGCAAATTATCCAGGCAAAGAAATACTTGTTCCCTTTGTCTTCAGAGGGAGTTTATCCTTCACCTCTTCCCTTCAACAACCACAATTCCAATCTCTTGCTTATCTCTAACCCTTAGGAGGAAAAATCAGAAGGTGTATTGTTTTGTTTTTATTCAAATAAATTAAATGCCAAACTTGAAAAACATAGAGAGGAATAAGAGAATTAGAAAGGTTGCAGCTCAAAGTGGCAATTTGATCGACAATAGTAAAAGTAGTCTTTAAAAAGGTTAAAAGATTGAAAGGGTCAAAATTGAAAGTGTTGAAATCACCAGCTGAGCAGTGCAATTGAACTGAGGAACTTATTTTTGTTTATGAGTAGGAAAACCTAGGATTTAAATTTTTCTTCCGTCTTTCAGAATGAGACTCATCAGCAAAAGTTCACAAGATGGCAGAATTTATGTGTCATCAAACTCTTAATTAAGGGATTAATTAGATATTTTTTAATATTCGTACAGATTTAAAAACAAATGCATTTTCTTGCAGTTAAGCACATTCAGGCAATTTACTTTATCCAACAGCTTTGGACTGCTTTCTCTTTTTACCCCTGGTTCCCAAAGAGCAGTTTAATTTCCCTGTCTTGTAAACCATTAAAACAGTGTTTGTCAGAGGAACAGGATGGACAGCAATGTCTAACATCACCCAGATGTAACAAAGCATTCACCCACCCTTCTGCTCCCAAAGGTTGCCGGTATCCCCATGTGGACAGTGCCTTGGAAAACAAACTGTTGGTACTCACCCTACTACCACAATTATAAAATCTAGTAAATTCCAGCCATTGCGGAGGTAAGCGTTGGGGTGAAAGAGAAGTCCGTATGCTATTACTTTTAAAAATGCTTCCACTGTAAAAATTATGAGAAAGAGATATTCCACTCGTTCCTGGGGGAGACAAGAGAACAAGAGAGACACCGGTTAGTGTAAATCGTGGATCAGGATGGTTTTTTTTGCCCCCAGCTCACTGACTGCCACCCCTCCCACTCTCTGCCCAGAGGGGTTTGCTCCTCATCTTGCACTGGCTCTGACACTACAAGTGGCAGAAAACTTTAGTTAGATTCTGAAATTTGCCACCCTTGCCTTGGCAGGGACTGGCAGAGCAGGAGGGGAGAGGAACTTCCCAACCCTCAGGGAAAATATTGTGAGAATGAACTGCATCCAGACTCGTCCTTTCAAGGCAGAGTCCATTCCTTTTTTCTTCTTCCTAATTTCCATTTTGTTCCAGCTCTGCTTATTCTAGTTTGTTGCACTTGGCATTAGGAGCTGTGACAATTGTTTCTCGTATGAACTGCAGTTCACACATTTGCAGTTTCTCTTCCCTATATAATACACTTACAGCTACCTTGGAAAAAAAGAAAATGTAGCTTATTAATTGAACATCACTCGTTCCAACACCATCACTGCAGGATAAAAATAAGAACCCCAACACTGAAAAACGCTAGGTCTCTTCATTTTAGCATCTGGAAAACATGTGCATTAGGAAGTTTAAACATATTCCAGAAACGATAAACAAACACTGCCAAGTTCTTTCACTGGCCTAAAGTAAAAGCCAGCACAGAGGAAAAATATCCCATGCTTTAAATCCCAACTATCCCATGTAACTCAGGCTTTGAATATTTAATAGTAAGCAAAATTTATCTCACTATATATACCTTTGCACAATGACAAACTTCAGTAACTCATTGCTAATAAAATACGTCCCATTTGTCATATTTATTTATAAAATACCAATTACATGTACAAAAGTCTGAAGCTTAAAACCGAAGCTGCTCATGATGCTTATGAAACTGAGGGCTAAATATGCTCCAAAGCATATTTCCTGTGGGGAGGAAACGTTGCTGCATGTAATAGTGTGGAGAGAGATGGGGAAAACTCAGAGGAGCCCACCTGAGACTGATGTCTATGACAAACTGAGTTTCTTTGGGATTCCCTTTTCTGTTGCTGGGGAATAAGTAGGCTGAATATTGGTGATAAGTGATTCACAGATCAGGCTGACTAATGCTGGAGGCTTTTAGTCATTCTGTCAGAATTGTACATATCCCTGCAAAGTGCAGGCTGCAATTAAGCACATCCAAACAAAGGCACTTCCAGTGCCTGATTTAGGACGAGAAACAGGATTTTGGAGTCAGTACATAGGCTCACCATCTCTCAACCTCGGGACTTTTAGCCCCAGTGTGGAATAAGGATAGCAGTATTGCAGAAATGGTAGGGATCTCCACCTAAGTAGGAGGGAAACTGCAGCATTAGGTAATCACTACACAAGTGCTGCATGGCAAGCTGAGTGGGAGATAAGTACATGAAAACGAGATGACAGCAAAAGAAGACCGAGTCACTACAAGGTTAAACTTCAAAGTTATTAAAAGTTCACGTTGAAGAAATAAAATCTGGGATAAATACAAATTAAAATGTCCCAGGCATTCCTGTCATATCTTAAAGGATATCCAGCACAAAAGTCAGACAGGTCACTATTTTTCTTTTCAGCTCCAAATTGTAACTGCCCTGTTCCTCTGTCCAGCTAAATACACGTATGACATTTTCATATTATACAGCAATGTAGAATGAGCAGGATTACAAAAGAATTAATTCCATCATTTGACAGCTGCCCATTTGAATATCTTCCATTTAGCTCCAGGTAATTAACAACTTACTGGAAGCCTTCAGATTAAAAAAAAAGCAATTGCCAATTCATCTGCAAGTTTACATTAACATGATATTTTAAACGACCGAGAAACTCCATCTGACAGTAGCAGGCACATGTTTGTGCTTTAAAATATTGCTGCCTTCCCTCAGACAATGCTTTCCCAATGCCTGCTGTATCCCCCAGTGCTTAGCACAAGAAATACCTAAAAAAAGAAGAAGTGTCATTCTGCAGTTATCTGATCCAGTAGGAAAGCTTTTGAACACACCCACAGCAGAGGATTTGTCTGTCGTTGTCCCAGATGGAGACACAGCAGCACACTAAAGGATTTCCCTTCCCTTGAACTCAGAAAAGGAAACAACAGCATACAATTCTGTGTTCCCAGCTCTACAAATAGCAAGGGCTTGCACCCAGGAGTCCAAGCAGGGGCTTGAGCACAGGAAAGAGGTCCACGGTGCCCTGCATGCTCCTAGGAGGGACTGACAGTGGCCCTCCTGCCACAGCTGAGAACTGAACGAGTTCTGATGAACAAACCACAGCCAAACAGACCCAGGTGATCCATCTCCATGCACTCATTTCTGAAGTAGGACCAGCCAGTTGTGAAATCTCTCAAGCAGAGCCCAAAAGAAATGCAGAATGATGGGAAGCCACCGTGGTCTTTCCATCTGCCCTGCACCTTTGTGCTGCCACATGGCTCCAGCAGCATCCAGCCACACAGACACCTCCAGTGCCATGGAGCACTGCCCCGTGTCTGACAGGACAAGGTGAAGCCTGGGTAGAGACTGAAGAAAGATGAAAATGGGCTCTGAGATGGAAGAACCTGCCCTGAACTGAGGATGGGAGCAGGGACTGCTGTGTCTGGGATGGACTAGTGACAAATGAGCCCCTTTGAGGATGGAAACAAAGATTTCTCTTATGGCAACCCAACCCAATAAACAGTCTCTCTCACTCCCAGTTTCAGCCTTAGCACAGTTGTTGGCAAGGTGTTTTTCCCTCTCACAGAAAGGGCCAAACTACTCCTCATCCTGCCTTTGAGGATGCCCTGTACACTCAGTTCATCTCCCTCTATAAACACACACGGGCCCAAAGTGTTGCTGGCCCCAAAACTCCTTCTAGGAGCCACAGCTGAGATGGTCCAAGGGGATGTGGAGGAGCTCATTCAGCAGCTCCAGGTGCCATAGGAAGCAGGTGGGCAGGACAGGTGAAGTGGAAGGGCTGAGGCTGATCCCGTGCCCAGAGATTGAACAGCAAACACTGACACTGGCTCCAGGGACTTCATTGAACAGGTTTTTTTTTTTCCTTTTTAATTACTATTTTAAAAATATTTAGTGCTGCACAGAGTAGACAATATATCAACAGCTAACATGTTCCATTTGGCTGGGTTTAGGGGCCTCATACCTTTTCTGTCTCTAAAGATGCCTGTGGGACCACAGACACTTTTTGTTATTGTAATAAATGCTGCTTGTTGAACCATGTTATGGGGTAATAATATGCCAAAGCATTGCACACATGTGCATGTACATACATCTATACATTGATATATAGATATATACAACTACAAGCTGTTTGAATAAATTCCTTACAGTTCTTCAGCTAAGGTGGAAAGATCCATAAAAAAATAAAATGCTATAAAAGCTTCTGAAATTAACATAAGATACAGAATGTTGAGCAGAGGATAGATTTTATGATCCTCTGCACTTAAATTAATGATTTCAGGGTCTAAAACTGAAGGAAAAATACTGCTGAGATTAAACAGTGCAGCTGCTCCAAGACTATTTCAGAAAGTTACTCCTGCTCAGGCTCAAGAAGAATTTGAAAAGCCTACTAAATAATTGGTGTTCCCTTTTCTTCCTGTACTATAAAACTAAAGAGCCTTTATGAACAGTGCATAACTCAGTAATGATATAGCATAACTGGGTTCTCCAGAATGTGGACTGCAGTCCCAGTTCTGATGCCACCTTGCCCAGTGAGGGCAGGGATGTGACTCAGCCACTCCCTGCCACAGGTTTGAGGTGACAACACTGTCTCTCACCCTCAGCAGCCACAGAAGGATGAATTTATTTCTCTTATATGGGCATCTGCACTTCTGCTTGCTCATTTGAAGCTTTGCTGTGTCAGATGAGGTAGATCAGAGCCCAGTGTTTCAATCTCCCAAGGGACACAGCACTGTAAAAAATCCATGGTCCCAACCCCTCTGAGAAGCTAATTTGGTACAATTTAGAAGAAGTCAAGCTAGACAAATTTTGGTATTTCTCTCTGAGAGAGTTCCCTGCTGACAGGGAGAGAGGGAGCTGAGCACTACCTTTATGGGACTCTGAGGAGATTGCCCCTTGAAACACTAATCCAAACCACAGCACAAAAACAGAGGGAACTTTGGAGCTGCAAGATAGAAGGAACAGGACTTTTTTATTTGCCTCTTAGAAATGGGAACTATGGTCATGTGGCTGAGGCACATGAAGCACACTGCAGGCTGCAGAATTACAAAGCAGGAGCTTCCTCTTTGGACAATAGGGACATAAATGTTTTGAAAACCAAAGAAAAAACAGCAAAAATTATGACTGGAAGAAGAGGAAGAATAAAAGTTTTACAAAGCAGAACAGTCACTGGAGCACACATGTTCTGGGGCTGGCTGTACCCCTGCTTTACTTTGTTTTGGGATTTTTTTTGTAGATATAGAACATATGTATCAGCTACCTTAGCTGATAGATTAGCCAGCAGTAACACTGCCAAGAAACAACCTGTATCTCATTTTACTCATAACAAAGAAACAAATATTAATTTACTGTTCAGGCTCTGAGATATATTACCAAAAGAGGATTACTGTATTATGTGTGAAACCCCTCTAATCCCACGTGTCTTCCAAAGAAGTCATAGGCTTGGTTTTGTTTATAATTTTTAAACTGTAGCTAATGTCATCGTGGGTTCATAAAAGGAGCCTGAAAACAGGAAATCCAAGGAAATTACTCGAGTGCCATAAGGCTTTTCTCCTGTCAGAAAGTGAATAGACCAGTGCTATTTCTGAGAAATGGTCATCAGAATGATTCACTATATCTTGATCCCAGCTCTCTAAACATCCATCCATCCATCCATCCAGCAGCACTGCTTGGTTGCAACATTTTCTTTGCAAGAAAGATTAAACCACAGTCAGGTTCTTGCATTTCATACACACCAGTGGAAAGAGCTTACAATGTAAAATTTAGTCACTAAATGTTTTCTCAGACTTTGCTGTCTCTCTCTCCAAGCTGAC